CGAACTCCCAACTCTTGAGCCACGATCGCCACGAGATTATTAACTCTGGCTTCCTTTTTTAAAACAAAAGCTGTTTATCTTTCCTTTTTGGTTTTCAGTATTACAGTTGAAGAAAAGACAACAACAAAATGTTACAGCTGCATGCACGCATGCATTTTCTAAAAAAGACATCCTATTTGATGCTTTGAAATGATTTCATGTGTCTGAAAGTTATTTAACAGAAACAGTATTCCTCGCATGTTTATAGAAGCATCATCCTTACACGTCTACCTTTTAAAATACTCAATTTTTTCTAGCTTTTTCTCCCCACTTAGGCTAGATTCTCCTCCCAATCCAAAGGGCTCTGGTTTCACTTTAAATGAAACCATGTGAGCAGAAGAAGGTTCTTATCTTTAGTTGTTACCCACCTTCATCTCGGCTCGAGCTCGGCTGTGGCACAGGTGGCATGACATTGGTGTGATACTCTTCCACTATTAACACTGAAGAGCAGAACGGAGTAAAACTACAGCACATCTGGCTTTAATTGTGGCTTCTCCGCCCTCTCTCTCTCTGCGCTCTGTGAAGCTCATGCTGGATTCCTGCTGTTAGTTTTGGCTCTGTAACATCTTCTCTGGTCAAGTCACAAGACTTTAGGAGGCATGAACAGAGGAAGGATTTTATTAGTTGACCTCTCATGTTGTCCATGTCTTTTTGTCCGTACGTGCATACCAGCTGTAGGTGGGTAGATCTGCAGGAATTTGAGTCGTGATCTGCTGTCTGAGGCTTACAAACAGTTTTTCCAAGCCAGTTCGACACAGTCGTGAACCAGTATTTTCAGGTTATGTAATATTTAGAAGGGCTTGCTAAAAGGAAATGGTTCTTTTGTGTTTTTGTTGTTGTTGGTAAAGTTCTGATTTTACCTTTAACCAGATATCGTACCAGTGTCCTGCTCACGTGCTGTATTTCTGCTTCTTTTACTTCTGCAGATGGTTCAAGCTCAACTCGAAGGCAGGAAGAAAGGAGAAGGAACGTGGTCAGCTCCAGATAACAGTCCAGTTCACCCGCAACAACATGACAGCCAGCATGTTCGACCTCACCATGAAGGACAAACCTCGCTCTGCGTTCGGAAAGCTCAAGGATCGTGTCACAGGGAGGAAGAGGGGGGACGTGGAGTCTTCATCGGCCATCGTGCCGGGCCGTTACGCCGCCCTTTCGGGATCCCTGGGGCAGCCATTTGGAGAACAGAGCGTAGGGGTGGTGGAATCGCGTGATGTGGAGGTAGCAGAGGAGAAGAGGAGCAAGATGAAGGATTTCTTCAAAGGCAAGCTGCGGAAGTCGTCGGACACCAGGTCGTGTTCGTCTCTGGCTTCAGAGAGCAGTTTGTCTTCCATGGCCAGTGATAACCTCGGCCCTCCACCCAGTCTGGATCTGCTGTCAGACCCTCCCAGTTCCCCCATCTACAC